AGGTGTGGTGGCGCATGCCTGTAATCCCAGCACTTGGGAGGCTGAGGCAGGAGGATTGCTGCGAGTTCAAGGCCAGCCTGGGCTACAAAGTGAGTTCAAGACCAGCCTGAACTGCACCTTGAAACCCTGTCTCAAAAAGACCAAAAAAAGAAAAAGAAAGAAAGAAAGAAAAGAAATAGAAGAAATGGATTTAAGCATCTCTATTCCTTTTTAACATTTAGAAGTCACTTTAGTTCTATAACTTTCACTTTCCTTCTCATAAAATGATATTAAGCTCATCTATGCATCATACAGCTCTTCTGAGTATCAAATGTGAAAGTACTGTATAACATGAACACCCCTCATAAAGATATTGCAGTTAACTTCAGCTCCAGATGAATAGGACAAACACTGGAGTAGTTCTAATAATACCAGCAGAGGTGTTTATAAAACTTCAAAATCCAAAATGCTCCAAAGTCTGAAACTTCGTGAATGCTGTCATAAGTTCATAAATGGAAAGCTGGGCATGGTGACACAGGCCTGTAATCCCAGCACTCAGGAGGCTGAGGAAAGAAGACCGCTGTGAGTCCAAGGTAAGCCTGGACTGCAAAGTGAGTTTAAGACCAGCCTGAACTGCATAGTGAGGCCCTGTCTCAAAAAGGGAAAAACAAAACAAAAAAAAAAAAAGGAGAGTTTCATGGCTGATATCATGTGGTGAGTCACGGTCAAAACAAAGGTGTACTAAAAATTTACATAAAATTACTTTCTGGCTACCTATGTAAAGTATATAGAAATATAAATGAATTCTATGTTTAGCTGGGATCCCAACCCCAAGCTATCTCATTACATACACGTAAATATTCCAAAATCCCCAAAAATCTAAAATCTAAAACATTTCTGGCCCCAAGCTCTCAGACAAAGAAAACTTGTCCTGTATTTACTAGCACAACTACAATCATAACTGACACCACGGACACGCTATGCTTTTCTGGAACAGACCTTGATCAAGACAGGGTTGCCAGGCATGGTGATGCACATCTATAATCCCAACACTCAGAGGCTAAGACCAGCCTGAACTGCATAGCAAGACCCTGTCTCAAACAAAATAACATGAAACAAAAAGCAGGGTTAAGTATCATGACAGCCTTCCCCCTTTATTCCATCTTGGCAGTTGTATGGTTTTAATAAGCAGATCAAGCCTATTACGTTCTACAAATGGAGAATAAAACAAGTGTGGTAAATCCAGGTAGTTATTGAACCTGGATGATAAATATTAGGTAATTTGTTTACTATTTTGCCTTTTTTTATGTTATAATTTTTTAATGTTTTAATTATTACTATCAACATCATATTTGTCTATTTTCAACTACTGCTGCCTGAATACTGCATTTGAAGCCTTTTCCAACTTTCTCCCCTTCTGCCTAGCACTCTCCTTTCTCGGGCCATGCCCATCTTGGCTGCCAGCTCCCTCTTAAACCACCCCCCTCCCACTGTCTCCCCGCGGACACCCACTCATTCCATCAGTGTGGCCTCTCCACTCTTCCTCAAACGCCTTCTCTGATTGTTCTCTTGCTGTTTCCTCTGCCTGGAAGGTCTTACCCCCAGATTTCCTTGTGGCTCTCCCACGTGTCATTTGAGTTTACATCAGCTCCTCAGACAGCCACCCCAGACCAAGCTACATAAACTAGCACTCTTCTCCCCCTTTAGCTCCTTACAATGTTCAAGGCAGTAAACACTATTTTACATCATAAAATTACATGTATCCTCAACATATCTGCCTCCTTCCCGATTTGTCTGTAATATAAGATCCAACGTCTCAGCTTGTCATAAAACCCTGCCTTGACCTGGATTTTCTTCTTTCCATCAATTATGCTTCTTCAGGTAGCCTAGAAGTCCAACTCACTCTTCCTCACACCGTTTCTCACCTTGTTCTCTCTATGTCTTGCCTTAGTGAGCCCCACTCACACGCTCAACCTCTACCCACACCCTAAGACTCAGCGGGAGGCCGCTGTCACTGACTTCCTGACTGACGCCCCTCTGCACGGCCACAATTACTAATCTGCCTTACTTTAAAGGCGTTATTATTCTCCATTTATTTATAAATTCCCTCCATGAATCAACATGCACCTTAAATGCAGAATATGTACCCAACTCACTTTTTTAGACTTCTGAGTTACACAAAAGAATGCAAATATTTGTGTATTTTTCTTAAATACCAGAAACAGGCTGAGGTGGCAGACAACAAAGAATTCAAGCTATACTTCCAACATAAGATAATAAATTCCTAACATAACTTCTTTGCTTTCTTTTGTTTTTTTAAAATCTTACCCATTTACCCAATTTCTTCTCCCTTTGTAAAATTTTTTTCTACTTAGTTTCTTAAATTTACTCATTTTTAAATTTTCATTTGGGTTCAAATCATAGTTGTGTTCCTTAATAACTACATTAATCCTTTCAAGTTTCACCTGCCTAATCTGTAAAATGGGGAAATAATTTCGACTTCAACAGGGCTATTACAGCATCAAATGAGATTTTTAAAAATATACATAAAACCTAATACAATGCCTGGCACCCACTGGGCTCTCAGCAAATGGGGAAAGCAGCCTACTGTTTCTACTCGGAAGAAAATTCTGACCCATGAACTTTGAAAAACAGGTTTAAAACAGCAGACTAGTAAATAGCAAGTTTTACTTATTTTTATTTCTTCACTAATAACAAAAACAAAAATTATACATATTAAAAGGGTAGCATGTGATATTTCAATACATATATACTCTGCACTCCAATCAAGACACACTGGGACTCCTTACTCCTATGTAACTGTAACTTGGAATCCACCGACAAACCTCTCCCCGGCCCTCCCTCCCGCATCCGCTCCGGCCCCTAGTGCTGTAACCACCATTCTAAGTGTACTCTCAACTTGTACGAAGGCAGCATTTCCAGATTCTATGTCCAAGTGAAACCATGTGGTACATGCCTTCCTGTGCTTGGCCTCCTTCACTTAACATAATGATCTTCAGTTCAGTCCATGTTACAGCCGGTTTATAGCTCAGCGCCACAAGCGCCTGCCTGGCAAGCACACGGTCCTGAGTTTGATTTCCAGTACCAAAAAAAAAAGTGAGAAAGTTCAATCCACGTTGTAAAAAAATGGCAGTTTATTCTATAAAAAATATAAATATGTATGTTTTAAAGTCAAAAAAAATTCCCGACTTGTACTTTGGTCAACTAAAATCTCCTACAATGATTTCTAACAAGAGCATAATTTAGCTTACACTCATATATTTGGTCTATTATTATTATTACTAGTATTATTATATCCCCTTGACACTGCATATTTGAGTATGGCTAAAATGAAGAGATTGACTAACATGAATTTTAATGTTAATTTACAGATAAATTTGAACAATCCATTATTTGGCAGTGGTTTCCTTCCGAACAGTGTTATCTTAACTTCACTCTCTCCTAGCAGGAAACTTCTAGCTTAGCAACTATTATAGTAACATTCATAAACACGAAACTCAAAGTGGCAAACTACGAATAGAATACTTGCATTTTAGTTCTATGAATCCCATGACTGGCTGGACTGCCAATCTTTCCTGTAACCGACATGCACCAACTTCTGTCTGATCATCTCTCAACAGTACAGACTTAAAGAGATCTTGGGGCCAGGGATATAGCTCAGCAATGCAGCACCTGCCTGGCAAGCGCGAGGTCCTGAGTTTGATTCCCAGTACCAAAAAAAAAAAAAAAAATCTGATCATAGACAATCAAATCTATGAACAAAGATATAGTACATACAATTCTCTAGTTTCTCAGGACTACGTAACTACAGCACTGCTTTGCCAAAGGACAAACAGCCACGTTATCTGAAAACACAATCCTGAATTCTCCACAATACGTTTTCAAACACAACTCATCTTTGACTTTTATAGTAAAACTAAAATCAATCATTCAGTCCTAAATCCTACATTAAAACTAGTTGCAAAGATTCACAGTATCTTGCCTCAAATGAATAGTGTATCTAGCCAAGCTTATCAAATCTCTAAAATCAGTCATGAACCTGTGTGAAGGTTAAATTTGTTCACTAGAAAATGTGGGAAAAATAATAGTTGTTCTAGTTACCTGAGTTACAGTGAATTATTCTAAAGTTCAATGTAGGACAATACTAAAATACTACTTGAAAGCTGGATGTGGTGGCACAGGCCAGTAATCCCAGTACTCTATGAGGTAAAAGGACTGCAGGTTCAAATCCAGCCTGGCCAACTTAAAATAGAAAACAAAAGGGCTGGGCTGTAGCTCAGTGCAAATGCCCTGAGTTCAATCTCCAGCACAAAAAAAAAAAAAAAAAGGAGGGGGGGAGGGGGGGCAGGCTGCTCATTACATTTTAAGAAACACACACACACACACACACACACACACACACACACTCCTACTACTACTAATGTACATTTCCAAAAACCACCTATATTAACTTGGATGCAATATAAACATGAACTACTTAATCTTTCTCCTTGCCCTTATGACTAGAACAGTGGTTCTTAGGTGGTATTTCTCAGAAAAATGATACATAAGGCCCAGTCTCCATCACTACAGGTTCAGGAAGCCTGAAGGATAGAACTCAGTAGACTTTAAAAGCTCTACAGATGGACGCCGATGCATACCAAACCGAAGACTGCTTACAGAAGTGGACAAGCCTACCTGTGAGACACCTGATGCCACCATTTCAACAGAAACTTCTAGCCATTGTCATGTTTCAAATTTAAATAAAAATATATAACTTTTATCTTCATTATTATATGCTAAGTAAGCTATACTCTAAAATTTCCCATGTCCAAAGGCAAGTGTAACTTCTTTAACATTATGAAGAAACCTCTTCTCTTACAGGTACGCTGTTTCTGACTATCATGTAAAAAAAGGCTCTACAGAATAGCATATGTTTAGACAACTAAATCTGAACCATCTGAAGCCTTGACTGAGATATGGACTGACTTTATAAAGCAATATACATACTACCCAGTCACCTCAGAATTAGACTTGATTTCTTCTGTGGCGGGTTTAGATGCACCAAGAGCTGTACCATTGCTGCAGTCAGACATACCTAAAAATAAAATATGTTAGGCATATATTAAATAATTCAGTTCAGAGAGTTGTGTCATCCCACCGACAGTCTTCCAAATATCCACAGTGTGACATTTTATTAGTAACCTGAATTTTATTTTCAGAGCTATCTATACTATATGAATATCTATTAATCACAACAAGTAAATTCTAAAGGCAAACAAAAATTCAGAAAAAGCATTTATGCAGAATAATAATTTCATAAAATCATTTAGATATGAAACAATGTTAAAAACCAGATTACTAACTTGATTTGACAGATTAAAAAAATTAAAATACAGTTATTTGTGGCTACACAAATCCAAGTTCCAAACCAAAACTCAGACCTCTCTGACCCTGGTGGACAGCAATTTTTAGTATTAAAAACAAATGTGACACTCACTGTCAAAGAGAAATACAATATACTCAGATTCAATAACAGTTTAATGACCAATTTCTGCTACTAATTCATTCAATAATGTTTGAAGAATGTCAACTATACATGAAGAACTCCGCTAGGCACTAAAGGGAAAGAAAAATAAAATCTAGTTCAGTTTCTAAAAGCACCCTCAATCTTAACTGAGAGACAGACACACAAAGAATTATAGGATGCCATCTTAAAAACTGTAATGCAAAAAGCCCAAATTTTTACTCTTGAAATACAGTGTCTACAAAGAGAATCCAATACCACGCTAAGAAAATGGTACATGACTAACTGGGAGTTATCTCAGTAGTACAGGACTGTTTCAACTAGAAAATCTATTAATATATAGTACATTGATAAACCTAAGGGGAAAAACACTTTCTCTATACACAATGAGATAAGACTATTTTTGGTGTCAGCACTTATTTAAGAGATACTTTCTCAACATGACCAATATATACAAACACACACACATTTTAGTGTGTGTGTATATATACAGCGTATGTATATGTAGTAAAATGTAAGACATTTTAGTCTTACAACCATTATATTATGTAATAAAATAAAGATGCATTTTAATAAGATCATCTACAAGGGAAAGATGCCCACAGTACTACACTGTACTAGAGGTATTAACCAGTCCAACTAGTTAAGAAAAATCAACTAAAGGAATAAAAGGTAAAAAAGTAGATATAATATTACATTTAAAAATCACAAAGAACAAATGATAAAACTAATTCAAAAATAAAAGAAGATATAAAAATGAATAGCCTTCATATACAAAGACAATAGTCAAGGGGACATGCTAGCAGGAAAAATCCCATTTATAATCAGCAACAAAAAAGATTAAATGCTTAGGAACAATGTGTAAAACCTGTATGAGAAAATTTTTGAGCATGACTGAAAGATACTAAAAACTTGCACAAATGGAAAGACACCCCCGTTCTTGGCTAGAATGGTAACACTCCCTATTGCTGGATGGAGTGACAGCTTCCAGATTTTAAAAATGCACACATATAGCATCATTCTCTGAAATTATAAATATTAAAAACTACCTATGTGTCCATACAGGAAGGTGACCAAATGAACAATGGTACATCTAAACTATGCAACTGAGACAAGAAATAGAGAACCGGACAATGTTTATGATATGGATGATTTCCAGGACATACAGCACCCTCCCCCTCACCTGCAGTTTATCTTCCTGTGATCAACTATGGTTTGAAAATATTAAATGAAAAGTTTCAGATGTAAATAATTCATGTTTTAAATTATAAGACATTCTGAACAGTGTGATGACATTTCATGCCATCTGCTCTATCTTACAGCAATGCCAATCACTGCCTTTGTCACCACATTCACACCGTATATGCTACCCATTCTGCAGATGTTTCCCATCTATGAGTCACTTTGTAGACGATTCTGTTGTCAAATTGTCTGTTGCCGTATCATAGTGCTTGTGTTCAAGTCACCCTGATTTTATTTCATTATGATCCCAAAGAATAAGAGTAGTAGTGCCAGCAGTTCGAATACACCAAACAGCCAGAGTTCTTCCTTTATGTGAAAAGGTGAATACCATAAGGAATTTTGACAAAGAGACCACATTCACAAAATTTTTACTGTAGTATATTGTTATAATTGTCCTATTTTATTGTTACTAATTTCTTACTGTACTCACAGTAATTTATAACTAAACTTTATCACATATATACATGTAGAAGAAAAAATATAGTACCTATAGGGCTCAGCACTACCAAGATTCTGGGTGTCTTAGTATTTTGAAGTATCTGGAATGTATCTGTCATTGAAGGGGGGACAACTGTACTGTTAGTTTTCAAAAGTAAAATCCAGAAAATAGCTATACTATGTAAGCATGCAAGGGGATATTTTGAAAGCACATGTTGTGCTCACTGAAAAAAAGGAAATACAAGAAGGGTAAACCTGAAATAAAGGCAATACATCACCTAGGAGGGGAAGATGAGAAAGGGGTGGAAGGGAGGAGATGAAGGGAATGGGAACAGGGTAACAGGCCTAAGGAGAGTGAGACGTCTCTGAATATACACATTCTGTCTCTCAGAGCCATAGTATTCTTCAAATATCCTTAAAAAAAAGCTTTTAAAATACCAAATATTAAAACCACCACAATATAGTGAGAACTCAAAATGGTACAGAAACACCAATAAATGAACATAACAGTATTATAAATGGGTAACTTTAGGAAGAAAACAAGGAAAGAAAAGGAATAGAATACAGATGATAACAACTGGGTTTTTCACAGAGAAAGAAGGTATAAAACACAAAGGAGAAATGCTAAAAGGGACCCTGCAGTGTAAGGCTAGCACCAGGTATCAGGATAAACAAAGTTTACTACATGTGTGTATGGGTGTGCATCACTTTATTTTCCGAGCTCTGTTCGCTGAGGAGCCTAGAAGCAAGGAGACTAGAGTAACAAGTATGCTTGGTCCCCAGATTCTGTCTCCAAATACCACTCTCCGATAAAAAAAAAACAAGGCTCTTTGGTGAAGTAGTTGATCCTGGAGTTGAGGGAGGAAAAATACAAGATGAGCCTGAAACATCTTCTGGCATCAGAATATAAGGAAAATTGAATGGAAAAAAAAAAAAAAAAAAGGCAAGGCTTGTCCAAATACAGAGCTAATCTGAAGGCGCCCTTAACAGCCAAGGCGGGAATAAACTGAGCAACAAAACAAATGATAGTTGTGGATTTAAACACAAAGAATAAAACAAACCTTAGCGAGTCCATAATGACATAAACAAACAAGCAAGTAAAAGTAAACAGGAAGAAAGGACTCTTCTTATAAAAGAATTCCAATCAAAGGCATAGAAATGAAACAGGATTACCAACAGGAAAGCATCACAAATACTGCAGACAAGATCTATTTGACAGATGCAAAAATGGGGGCAAAAGTTTGAAGAGAGTAGAATGATACAGTCTCAAAGTAATTCTCACAAGATAGCTGACAAGAAAGACACAGTAACTTTGTAGTGGAAAAGTTCAGCACACCAACTTAACCAAGGATCAAGAACAGTAGTACCTCAGTTCAAGAATGCTTTTATTTATGAACAACCTGGCTCACAAACAGGTGTTTGATAAAAATATGGTTTTGTTTGCAAACTCTGTCTCAGGTGGCAAACACGAAAATGGACATCTTTTTCAGAATCACGGAACAAATTAAGTTTGTGAACTGAGGTACCACTGTACTAGCATTAAGATGTATCAACATCATTAACTCTTTACAGTGATGCAGTGAAAAGAATACGTCATTTTTGTGGTATTCTTGCCAAAAATGAAGGATCTTAGACAAATCATATGAAAATATGGCACAAACACAAATTAGGAGACATTCTAAATAGTAACTAATCAATCCTTCCGAAAGTGTCAGAGTTGGGCCAGACGTGGTGATACACTCCTGTAATCTAGCATCTGGGAGCCCGAGGCAAGAGGACTGCTTCAAGTTCAAAGCCAGACTGAACTACATAGTGACAAAGACAAGGAAAGTGTGAGAAACTTACAGACTGGAAAAGACTATGGAGCAATAGCTAAAGTCAGTATAGGCTCCTGGGTGGGATCTTGGAACAGAAAAAGCACAATAGTTGAAAATTTGATTTAATTCTAGTAAGGTCTGTACTTTAATAACATTGTACCAGTGTTAATTTCCTACTCTTGATAATTATTACATCATATGTTAGCATCAGGCAATCAGGGTAGGAGATATACAGGAATTTTTGTATTACTTTTGTAACTATTCTACAAGTCTAAAATTAGATCAAAATAAAGTTTTTTTTTAAAAAAAACAATATTAAGAGAGACTTCCAGGAAGATGGTAGAGCTGTAAGTAGCAATAAATCAGCCTCTCCCAGATTCAGAATCCAGACACTGGAAAATAACAACTTGGGGAAGAAAAGAGAGAGGGAAGTGATCCCTGCAACCCAGGATGATCTGAAGGGAAAATTGGAGCCCACAGAGAATCTGAAGGCTCAGACCACAACACAGAAAAAGTGAGAGGCAATCTGCATTTTCTCGCGGGCCCCTGGCTGTGGCAAGAGACAGAAAGATCAAATCTACAGAGACGGTGAAAGCAGGTGACTCCAGAGACCTTCAGGGAGAAACACCAGAAGAACCGAGCAGTGGTGCCGGGTACTACAACAGCTGGTGAGTGACTGCACTTCAGTTGTACACCACATCCCCCGGAGCGGGGCCAACTAAACCTGGGACCCAGTGGAGCTTCACGCTGGCTTCCTCTCAGGGCTTCCAGTGTTAAAAGTCCCATAGTTACTGAGTGAGGGACAACCACAGGAGATGTCCATGGTCAGAGAGCTGTAGTCAGGCTGGAAGGAGACACCCAGAGTGCTATATGCTAAAGGACTCAGGCCCCACCTCCATGATCAGAGGCAGATTCAGCCTGAATTTCCGTGGCTGTGACAGTCTCACAGCCGCACACTGCCTTAATCCTACTGCCACTGAGATTATCCAGGATGGACCTGGGATTTGACTGCCTCCCTCGACCAGTGAGAGCAGAGTCACACCTTAAATTGGACATTGCTGCAAAACTGCAGAC